AAATAAAAGGGTCCCGGGCTCTATTCTGGTCAAGGGCACATGCCTGGGTTGCAGGCCTGGTCCCCAGTAGGGGGCGTGCAGGAGGCAGCCAATCAATGATTCTCTCTCATCTTTGATGTTTCTATCTCTCCCTCTCCCTTCCTCTCTGAAATCAATAAAAATGTATTTTTAAAAAAATAGTCCACATACTTAAAGTTTACTTACTACCCAGGGAAGAAATTGCTCTTTAAATGTGACTGAAAGTTACACTTAAAACTGACCCGCCTCCGTCCCTCAGGTCTCCTATGAAGACGTGGAGCGCCTGAAGGGCCTGGGCGTCACGGAGAACATGAGGGTCCCGCAGTTCCTGCTGGACCAGGGACGGTACAGGGAGCACCTGGAGAAGATCATGGACGTGAATGAGCTGACTGACCGGGAGCTCAGAGACCTCATCTGCTAATTAGGACCCTGGCGGGCAGCGCGAGAGTGAACCCCTACCCTCCCGTCTGGTGCCTCGGCACCGGCGGATTTGTAAAGGACTATTTCCACGAGTTTCTGCAGACTGGTCGGCAGTGTTCAGCTGAGCGTTTAGGATAAGTACAAACCTGAAACTGTTTCCTAAAACGGGTTCTACAGGCTGCAAGGGAAGTGACCTGTTTTCATCTGATTCCATCCGATTCTCAACGCACGGAGTCAGATGAAAATACCACTGATGAGCGTTTTTGAAGAATCTTGGTCAGACCGAGCGATAAACTTCTGCCTGAGCACCAAGACCAGCTGCGGCCAGAGCCTGCCTCCCGTGCTGCTCACACGCCACGGTTACGTTTTATTTTCCGAGGATGGTCGTTATTCTCCTCTGAAAAGTTAGTTTTTTATGCCCCCGAACAGCTCCATCTAAGGTTTCTTATTTCTCTTATATGTTAAGTAATGTTAAGGGGTTGGGGACAATTTGAAAAGTTTCATTAGTTCTTTACATCTTATTTTTTCACCTTACCAGTTTGTAGGAACTCCATTAGAGAATTGTGTCCAGTTATTCCTTATCTAAACTCTGTTTTCATTTGCTGAAACATATTATACCCCTTGTAAATTTTAACCCAGGTTTAGGGTCTCTCCCTCTCTATTCCTTTATAGAAATGGTAAGTACAGGTTCCAGAGAGGTTTGTCTACGTACATTGGAATAGTTGGGGAAGAGAGAAGCTACTCACCTTCTCATTAAATGGAGCCACAAACAGGACAGGCAGGCTGACCCACTTCCCATCGGAGCCAGATGCCGACAGGCAGCGTCCACAGTGCGCCTGACCTTGCTCTGAGAACTGGCATTGCCGGGCCCTGCCATCGGCTGAACCGTTCCTGTGATTGGCTTGTGTCCTTGATCAAAACCTTTGGCTTCCCCAACCCAACAGTGACATAGTTTAAATTTCAAAAATGAGCGTTCTGATTGGCTACATTTCTCCTGCCAAAGGCTTACCCACTTGGCTTTGTAATTTATTTTGATATATACTTGCATATACATACTTGGGATCAAATGGCTTTTCAAACAACTTATTTTAATGATCAGAAAGAATACTGCTGTAGATAGCCCATTCAGAATTGCTATTGAAACAAAATTGAAGAATAAAGACCACCCCCCCCCCCAAAAAAAAGTAACCCACACAAAATTGCTACTGAAATTTCTACCCAAAGCTACCTGAGAGTTTATGTTTACCTCACTTCAGGCGTAAATATGGTGCTACGATGGGTGGGTGCCCACTGACAGCCTGGCCGTCATGCTGGGAAAGACTGGGCGCCCTCCCGCAGGCCTCAGGCTGGTGTGTGATTGTTCCCCTTCACGTGGCCACAGGGCTTGCCTTAAAGGAGACCGCTGCAGCAGACAGGGTGTGCTGGTGCCTGGCGCCCCGCAGAGCCCTGCTTCCCCCTCGGGGGCCGGGGGCCAGCCCTCGGCCTGGGGTGGGGCTGCACATCTCCGAGGCTGGCCGTGCGCTGGCCTCACACACACGGCAGCACCACTGTGGACCACTGCACTGCTTCCTTGTAGCGGAGCCCTCCAGGCTCAGCTTCATGTCTTGTCTGATTTCATCGTCAAACTTCTCCAAGGTGACTGTGGAAAGTGTCTGAGTAGCTGGAATAGACGCATAGGCAGAAACGGCAGGATCTGAGTCCTGTGACTTAAGCTCCATGCTCGTGAGCTGAGCATCTGTGGGCAGTGACACGGCTCCCCCTGCGGACGATTCCGCTGCAGAGGAAGGTCCAGCAGCCCTCGGCTCCTGGGGGGCGGCCTGAGTGTTAAGTGGGTGACATTCTCTGTCTGGTTTGGGAAAAGGAGACTGTCCTGCCTTACGGCTTCCAATAAAAGCAAGAAACGCGAGCACCATCCAGACAAAAACGACTTTAAATCACACCGACTGTCTTGGGACATGTTAAAAGCTAGCGAACCAAACGTAGTTTCAGATGCGCAGAAAAGCTAAGCTTTAAAAGTTGGGATTGAAGATTTAATTAAGGTAATTCTCTTTCCTGAGATAGAATTCTAATGTCCGTTTTATTCCCTAAATAAATGTTTAATAAATAGAAAATTATAGCAGCAGTACTTAGGGGAATAATTGAAGATCGCATTTTAGAATTGTAATAGTTATTGTCCTAGACTATTGATGCTTAGGATTTCATCAGTGTTGTCTACTGAAATTCTAGCAGATAGTATCAAATACACTTTCTGATGCACTGTCTGGTTTTCACACAAGACAGGATTCAAAGTGAAATTGTTGGCAAACAAAACTCCATAGTCTTCATTTCTCTATATTTTCACCTTTGTAAACATGTTTAAAATTTGTATGGCTGGTTTTGTAAATCTTTGGGCATTTTGTGTCTAGATATAACAGAAACAAGAGCACTGAGGTTCTTCGTGGAGTATGTGACTATATGTGCATGCAAACTTCTGTCCTTTGGAACCTAATTATATTTTTCTTGTGGAATTTCTGGGTTGCTGTGTGGTGATTATTGAGAGGAGCATGGGTCACGTTGAGCCTTATTTATAGAGAAAGGTTACATTTGCCACCCTCCACCTCACCCCAGTTAGTGCATCTTGTATTCTCATGGGAAAGGAGAGAGGGATCATTCTGTCTTTATTTACTGCCCTGTTCATTGAGTAAATTTTGTTTAATTTTTTTAATTGATAGAGGAAGAGAGAAGGGAGAGAGAGATAGAAACATCAATGAGAGAGAATCAGCTCTATCCAGTTTGGCTCAGTGGATAGAGCATCGGCCTGCGGACCAAAGGGTCCCAGGTTCAATTCCGGTCAAGGGCACATACCTTGGTTGCAGGCTTCTCCCCAGCCCAGGCCCTGGTCAGGACTCATACAGGAGGCAACCAATCAATATGTTTCTCTCACATCCATGCTTCTCTCTGTCTTTCCCTCTCTCTTCTATTCTCCCTAAAAATCAATAGAAATATATCCTCAGGTGAGGATTAACAACAACAACAACAACGAAGTTGCTACACAGCAAAAGAACACAAAAAGACAACCTAAGGAATGCAAGAAAATATTTACAAATCATATATCTGATTAGTTAATATCCAAAATATGTAAGGAACTCCTAAAACTCAGTAGCATAAAAAACAATCTGATTTTAAAATGAGCAGAACTGAGTAGATATTTTCCCAAATTAGACAAATTGCCAACATGTACATGAAAAGACACTCAAAATCACTAAACAGATAAGTGGAAATCAAAACTATGAGATTTTATAATAGCTGAGAGAGGCCATTATAAAAAAGATGAGATTGAGTGTTGGTGAGGATATGGAGAAAAGGAAACCCTTGTACACTGTTGGTGGGAATGTAGGTAGCTATAGTAAGTATGGGAAAAATATGGAATGTCCCCCCAAAATTAAAAATGGAACTACCATATGACCCAGCGATTCTACTGGGTATATATTCAAAGGAAATGAAAACAGGATATCGAATAGATAGCTACAGTCCCATATTTATTGCAGCATGACAATAGCCAAGACATGGAAACAACCTAAGAATTCGTCACCGGATGACTGGATGAAGAGGTGGTATGTATCTACAATGAAATAGAATTCAGCCCTGAGAAGGAAGGGAACCCTGTCAGTTTGGACAACGTGGATGAGCCGTGAGGGCCCTACACTATGTGAGATAATCAGAGAAAGACAAATATTGTATGACATCACTTATATGGGGAATCTAAAAAGGATAAACTCATAGAAACAGGAGAGAATGATGGTTGCCAGGGGCTGGGGTCAGGGAGGCTGGGGAGATGGTCAAAAGGTACAAACTTTCAGTTCTTGAAGATCTAATGGACAGCATGGGGAGTAGAGTGAACAATACTGTATTATAGATTGAAAATTGCCAAGGGAGTGGATCTTAAACGTTCTGACCACAATAAAGAAATAGTAATTATATGATGTGATGGATGTATTAGCTAATACTATGGTGGTAATTATTTCATAATACACGTGGAATCAAATCACCACATGCACACCTTAGCTTAAACAGTGTTATATGTGAACCGTAGCTCAATAAAGCTGGGGGGAAACAAGACAACCAACTTCACTAGTTGTGTGTGTGTGTTGTGTGTCCTTCCAGAGATAGCTTATGCAAAGACACTGCTGTACTTTCAGCACAGTTGATAGATTGCTACATGTTATTCCGTATTTTGAGTTTTACATTTACTCGATCTTGGAGATTATTCTATGACATGAACTCTTTAAAGTTATGGTGGTCCTTTAAAAAAAAACTAACAGGTGGAATTTCAGTGGCTGTCAATTTCAAGAGATTGTGAGGCTCGGGAGACCTTTTCCTTCCCAAATGGGGATGAGATAAACCTGAGAAAACTCTATCACCATATATATCCAAGTCCTGAGGCGCAGCACATATGTAAGGACCTACGTGTTTCTATCTCAAATTTAGATAAACCAGATATTTGGTTCTCTTGCCTTTTAAAAAAAACCCTGATCATATTTATAGTTTATAACTGTATTATGTCCAAGAAAAGCAAGTAGCTTGGCTCTCCCAGGTACACGGGCTTCCTGGATTTAGGAAGACTGATCCCTTCTCCAGTCGGAAGCTCTGATTTTGTGTGAGCTCCAGCCAGCCTGGATGAGCGGCTGCGTGCCGCTCCACACCCGCCCACTAGAGGGCCCACCAGCCCTTTTCCTCATTCTGGCTGCTCTGCCTCTGTTTTCGGCTGGAGGCCCCGGGAGCAGGTCAATCTTGCCGGCTGACCTCAGAGCCAATCCCAAACCTGCACACTGCCTTGCAGCAAGCACGGCTCTTCTGGGGAAGACATCGCCTGGAAGGGCTGGAGAGAAGGGGTCCTGAAGTCTCCCGCATGCCCGCGGCAAAAGCTGTTTGCTCTTGGGTCCGATTTCAGTCTCCGCCCGACAAGTTCGTCACAGAACTTGAGCGGAGCCGAGCCGGGGACTGTCGCGCACCTGGGCCACCACTGGCCACGCTCAGCGGGACAGCAGCCCACTCAGTGGCATCGCCCAGACCAGTGACGGCGAGTCTTCTGAGCTCGGCGTGTCAGCGTCTTGAAAAACCCTAACTTAACTCGGGTGTCATGTCACATATAGAAATTTTTTGATATTTGCAACCATAGTAAAACGAAGACATATTTTTGATAATTATTTTATATATTTAAATGCCATTTAACAAAGAAAAATCAACCCAAAAAATGAGTTCGCGTGTCACCTCTGCCACACGTGTCATAGGTTCACCATCAATGGCCCAGACAGTAGGACGCCCCCCTCCTCTCGGCCATGTTGGAAGGGATCCCGGTGTCCCTGCCAAACCCAGCCTCCAGACACCAGTCCTGCAGCCGCCTGGTGCCACCGTCCAGCCCAGACGCCAGCCCTCTTCCTGCCTTCCTGCCCTAACACACATGGAGTTCTGGAAACCTCAGCACTACCTGTGGAAGCGCGGGCCACAGCGGAAAAGCCAGCTGGCTCAGCCCGCGGGTGCTTTGAAGGGTGACCTCCTCCATTGTCTCAGGGCAACCCTGAGGCTGATAAACGGACCCCCTTCCGGACAAGTCAGCCCCACCAGGGTCACCCCACACACGTGGCTCCAGCTCCATGGAGCTGAGTTTGGGGGAGCAACACACCCCAGTGGCTGCCCCAGCTGGTCAGGGCAGTGGGCACTGGAACCCACTGCACTCACTCCTGCTGTCCCAGGTGGGCCTGCCCCCCTCTACCCCCCGCCGCTCTGTGACCCCTGAGCGGAGGGCACAGGTAGCAACAGTGACACTGCAAACCCCACCACCCGCCCTCCTGGGCCAGGCTCCCCGAGCCCCCGCTGCAGCCTCTTCTTCTCACTGAAAGGGCCCCCTGAGCCAGAACAGCCTCCCTCTTCTTCCTTAGCCTGTTGTCTTTGAAGATTGGGCACCGTCAGCTTTCACCACAGGGAGCTCTGCTGGACACTTCCCTCCCCTCCCACCCCTGCCCTCACGTTCCCCTGCCCCGATGCCATCCCCCCTCGGCCACGCATCCCCTCGTCCTACCTTAAGTCCCAGCTCCAGAGACACCTCCCCCATGAAGCCGCCTCGGATCTGCCCCGGGAAACACCCTCTCCCTCCTCCGAGCCACAGCATTCCCGTGTCCACTCCTCATCGGCGCCCGGCCCCTCAAGCACATTTCAACCATGGCCTTCGGACCAGAGCTGAGTTGGAATCCCGACCTTGTCACTCACCGGATGGTCACTTACTGTCAAATGGGGGCGATGCATCAGCCTCGAATCTTCAAAGAATGTCCTCAGGTCAGCTGTGTGAGTCCCAGGCGGGGGGCACTCCGGGCAGGCAGCATCCGTCCTTCTCCACCCCCCCCCCCCCCCCCCCCCCCGCCGCACCAGGGCTCCCAAGACCCCTTAGGCTAAGGATGCCCACCTGTGGGCGTGCACCTGTGGGGGGCGGGCGCTTCCTGGGCAGACAGACAGACGCCAGAGGCCTCGCAGCTGGGAAAGGGAGCAGGTGCCGCAGGTGAACTAGGTGATAGTCCCAGCCGGGCAGGGAGCTCCCCTGTCATGTCCTCTCCCTGCCCTTCCTTCTAGTGAAGACCTGCCCCAGGGCCTTCCCAACAGGCAGGGCTGCTGGCCTCTGGGCGGGGAGGAGGCGGGCAGGAGACCCCCGTCTGCCCGAGCTGAAGGTGAGGAGGGTCCTCCTTCAGGCCACATAAATCAGCTGTGTGATTCCCTGGTGGTTCCTTTCCTCCCTGTCCCAGCCTAGCTCAGCTGGGCGGCGGGTGGGAGCCATGAGGGGGCAGTTGCCAGCAGAGGGAGGGGCTCCGGTGGAGAGCTAACGGGGGTGGGAGTGGGTGGGTGTTCTAGCGGGGACACCATCTCAGGGATCACCAGCCTGGGGTCTCCGGCTTTGATTTCATCAGGGGGCCTGTGTGTTTTTTAGAAAGGAAGGGAGAGCCATATAGAAACATCAATGATGAGGGAGAATCATTGATTGGCTGCCTCCTGCACGCCCCCACTGGGGCTGAAAACACAATCCAGCCAAGTGCCCAGACTGGGAATCAAACAGTGACTTCACATGTCGATGCTCAGCCACTGAGCCACAGCAGCTGGGCCTGGGTTTTCTCCCAGGTGATGGGAGAGGCAGGAACCAATCGAATCGAGTTGCCTGGCCCCTGCGGAAGGCGCTGCAGAGGCAGGAGGGAGAGGTAAGGTTTCCAATGGCCTGGCACTGGGATTCCTGCAGCCCCTTCTCCCAGGCTCCCTCGGAGGGTACAGGCGACCCACACATCCGGGGCCTGCAGCTGCTGACCAGCACCACCCAGGTCCAGGACCGTGGGAGCGAGCCCTCGGCCCTGCCCGTCCCCAGGGCCTAGCCTGGTGGGTGCAGTGTGTGCTGAATGGGTAGAAACACCCCTTTCTTCTCTTCTCTCTGGTGCTTTCCATCTACAGTCCCGGGAGGCAGGCGCAGGAAGGACAGCAGGGGCGGGAGGGG